ATTTATTGTTTTCTACAGTTTAGAAAATGACACCCAGAGTGACATCATCGTCTGACTCCTCTTCCCTCCTGCCTCCAGGATGATGCCCTGTGACAGGCGGTCTTCAGAATGCTGAGAGGAGCATCCTGGATGGAGAACTCCTCAACAAGTATCTGTACCTCAGTACGATGGAGCGCAGTGAGCTGGCCAAGAAGATCGGCACCACGCAGGACATCGTGAGTTCACCGAGCTGCAGAACCAGAGATGAGCTTCTCTCTGCTCATCCTGTTCTCCTTCTCTCTAATCATTCTCTACTCCTTCTCTCTGCTCATACTGTTCTTCTCTCTTCTCATCCTCTTCTCTTTCTCTCTGCTTATCCTGTTCTCCTTCTCTCTGCTCATCCTCTTCTCCTTCTCTCTGCTCATCCTGTTCTCCTTCTCTCTGCTCATCCTGTTCTCCTTCTCTCTGCTTATCCTGTTCTCCTTCTCTCTGCTCATTCTGTTCTCCTTCTCTCTGCTCATCCTCTTCTCCTTCTCTCTGCTCATCCTGTTCTCCTTCTCTCTGCTCATACTGTTCTTCTTCTCTCTGCTCATCCTGTTCTCCTTCTCTCTGCTCATCCTCTTCTCCTTCTCTCTGCTCATCCTGTTCTCCTTCTCTCTGCTCATCCTGTTCTCCTTCTCTCTGCTCATCCTGTTATCCTTCTCTCTGCTCATACTGTTCTTCTTCTCTCTGCTCATCCTGTTCTCCTTCTCTCTGCTTATCCTGTTCTCCTTCTCTCTGCTCATCCTCTTCTCCTTCTCTCTGCTCATCCTGTTCTCCTTCTCTCTGCTCATACTGTTCTTCTTCTCTCTGCTCATCCTGTTCTCCTTCTCTCTGCTCATCATCTTCTCCTTCTCTCTGCTTATCCTGTTCTCCTTCTCTCTGCTCATCCTCTTCTCCTTTCTGCTTATCCTGTTCTCTTCTCTCTGCTTATCCTGTTCTCCTTCTCTCTGCTCATCATCTTCTCCTTCTTTCTGCTCATCCTGTTCTCCTTCTCTCTGCTCATCCTCTTCTCCTTCTCTCTGCTCATCCTGTTCTCCTTCTCTCTGCTCATACTGTTCTTCTTCTCTCTGCTCATCCTGTTCTCCTTCTCTCTGCTCATCATCTTCTCCTTCTCTCTGTTCATCCTGTTCTTCTTCTCTCTGCTCATCCTCTTTGCCTTCTCTCTGCTTATCCTGTTCTCCTTCTCTCTGCTCATCCTCTTCTCCTTCTCTCTGCAGATCCTGGACGATCTTCTGGAAATCGAGAGAGTAACGGCTCATTTCTGAGTCCCAGCTCACTGTTTGTTTGTCAGGGAGGAAAACCAGTTTTGTTAACTTGATGTTTCTGTAAACCTTGTTTGTCTTGTTAGAAAAAGAAGCTCATTGTTTTGTTTTTTATTTTAATTTTTGTATTGAAAAAAGAAAGCAGATTGATTTGAGTTTTGATTTCTTCTCGATGAATTTAAAAAGCTAGTGGTGAAAGAAAAGGTCTGTTTCAGCTGCAGCCTCGACTCTTCCTCACACAGATCAGGTGATGAAGACTCACCTGTATTTCCAACATCTCCTTGGTTTTCTCTCAAAGCTTGAAGCTCTGAGCTGACAGGCAGCTGCTCTTCTTTGAGTTTGCACCTCCTTGAGGCTTTTCAAGTTCAAGCAGGTTTATTGTCATTTCACCACATGAGGTACATGAGGTGGAACAAAATTATGTACACGGGGTCCCAGTTACATCCAATAATAGAAAAATAAGTGTTTAAAAAACAAACGGTAAATAAGGATCTAAGATATACACTAAACACTAATATTGTAAATAATACGATGTAACAACAGCAGCACGAACATGAGTCAGTGATGAGCAGATGGGTATGAATGAATACAGCAGCATGAAATAATCAGCAGCATGAAATAATCAGCAGCATAAGATCCAACAGAGCTTTTAAATCACAACTAAAGATAATTTCAAGACATTTGAGTTTAATTCACAGGTTTTAGGACCGTCTTTTACTTTTCTAAAGTAATTTTACTGTAAGAGAGAAAGAAATCTGTGAACACTGACCTTCTGACTGTCGGTCAGACCACACTACCTCCCTCGAGAATTCTCTCAACAGTTGTTTTAGTGTACGTGCCAGGACCTGATTTTAGTCTGGCTGCAGAAACAATAGACAGTTTTAACAGAGCTGCTGACCGCAGCGGAGAACAAGCTGTGTTTTTATTGGGACATTTCAACAGATGTCACATCACCAAATATCTGCCCAGTTTGGAACAATATTCCAACTTGACAACATATACTGGACTTGTGCTTCGGTAACATCACAAATGCATACGCAGTGAAGTCACGTCCACCTCTTGGTTCGGACCATAACGTCGTATCCTGCTGCCAAGATATCAGTCCAAACTGAAACTGGAGCAACATTTCTCAAAATCTTTTAAAATCTGGAACAATGAAGCCGCTGAAACATTGAAAGGCTGTTTTGAATCAACAGACTGGAGCTTGTTCTTTCATGATGTATCCTCTGTCCTCACTCTGTCCTCTGCATCCTCTGTCCTCACTCTGTCCTCTGCATCCTCTGTCCTCACTCTTTCCTCTGCATCCTCTGTCCTCACTCTGTCCTCTTCATCCTCTGTCCTCACTCTGTCCTCTTCATCCTCTGTCCTCACTCTGTCCTCTGCATCCTCTGTCCTCACTCTGCCCTTTGCATCCTCTGTCCTCACTCTGTCCTCTGCATCCTCTGTCTTCACTCTGTCCTCTGCATCCTCTGTCTTCACTCTGTCCTCTGCATCC